ATTGACGTGGGCCGGGCAAGTCTCAGCCTGCCCGATGGCACTCTCTGCCCGCTGCCTGTCCGGGCATGACTCGGAGACAAGGGCGGCGCGGCCGGGACAAACAAGACGCGGCGCTGAGGTGAGTGCAGTGAAAAGACCGATGCCGTGTGAAAACGCCGGGGACACGCCGGGGACTTCTCCACGGCAACCAATCCCGGGCCGGGGAATGAAATAAAGGACGGACTTCAATGCCTCCCTTCCTCTCGTATTCAGAGCCTGTGAAGGGAAATATCGTCTGTGCCACGAATCACCAGACAGAACATTCACACCGGTACTGTCAGCACCGGGGGCCCCAAACACACACATGGAGGGGGCCCCAAACAGCCTACCTGACAGGGCCCCTTACTTACCTATTTCACAACAATAGGATCCATTACTAGGTTTCTATTGGGGTGAACCGCGTGGAAGGGGGTCTGGTGGAGAGCGATGAGGCTTTGTGACTTTGTACCATTGTCAATAAAGTTTATTGAATTACATTTGAAAAAAAAAGTAACAAGCCTATGTGTGGCTTCTCCTACCGGTCAATCGGCAGCTGCTTTCCTTCCACATGACACCACGTTGGGGACACCCAGTTCAGCTGGGGCCCCCTCCACTGGCCTAATGGGGCCCACTATGGGAGTACTGCCTGTGCTCCCTATTGGCAGCCTTGCACAGGGCGATATGAGTGAAAGCAGATAGACCCCCCGAGTGTTTTTGGGGTGTTAGAATAAACCCGCACAAAGCAAAAAGAGCAGCAAAACTTTATCTGTCACTGATCATTTCTGTGAATATAAACTGGCCGGCCGCACAGGTCTCGCCATGTCTGATGATGACATCATCGCGTCCTTCATCAGAGCCACCATTCTTTTCCAGCATCCAGAGAAGAGGGCCCCCAAAATTAAATACTGACCCCCGCACCATATCCAACCCATCGCCCCGCCATTTACAGATCAGATAGAAAGTCACAAACAACGGAAGGAGCGATGTACAAAGGGGCCCGGCGGGCACTTACCCTCTCACTGATGGCATTGTATTTAATGGCCAGCTCGTCCCTCTCTGCCCGGCTCTGGGCCAGCAGATCCTCCACCCGGGACAACTCCTGCTGCAGGATGCGATTCTCCTCTTGTACGGAGAGGAGGGAGGACATGTCTGAGGGGGGACCTGCAGAGAAGACGGGGGATGGTATTAACTGGTCACTGACATCACTGCTCTATGACATCACTGCTCTATGACATCACTGCTCTATGACATCACTGCTCTATGACATCACTGCTCTATGACATCACTGCTCACCCACGTCACTGCTCACCCTCCTCACCGCTCACCCTCCTCACCGCTCACCCGCATCACCGCTCACCCTCCTCACCGCTCACCCGCATCACCGCTCACCCTCCTCACCGCTCACCCTCCTCACCGCTCACCC